TTCATGCTTTCTTACATGAAGGGAGGGACTGCAGGAGCATGGGCAACGCAACGCACCATGGCGCTACTGAGGACAGGCTCCCCTACACCCACCATGGACGAGTTCAATGCAGAACTTGACGCCATGTTCCAAGACCCAAACCGGGCGGCTACAGCCCGGCAGAGGCTGGCTACTGTCCGACAGGGAAGTGACCCCGTGGACGGACTCATCCAGGAGTTTGAGATACTAGGGCCCACCTCGCAGCTAGGCGACGTAGGGCTAGTCGACCGCTTCGAGTGGGCAATCAACTCCCGGCTCCGCGAGAGCATCTACCAGCTCCGCCCTATGCCCATCACCTGGGCCGAATGGAAGCGTGAAGCCACGCTCCTTGACAGCCAGTGGTGGCACTTCCAGAGGACGCAGCCATGCACGCCCCTCCACCTGCCCCACCCGCGACCCCTGTAACCCGTCCCAGACGAGAGACGAACCCGCACCCCGAGACCCGCCAGACCCGACGCCTGCACCCGGAAGACCTTCAAACGCTGATGAAGGGGCTGAAGGGCCAAGCGACGAAAGGACCGGAAGCAGGAGGGAAAGGACTGGACCCGGACCCAAGAGGACGCCCGGAGACCCAGCCTGTAAGGAGCACATGCCAGCCACCCACAAGGGATAGCTCACGCAGACGCCACGATGCCCAGGAGCCGTCACCAGCACCGAAGCTCCATCAAGTCATCGCAAAGAAAAGGAGAAAAGGAGCACCCCGAGCCCGCAAGGATGAGGAAACCACAGAGACGGCCCCAGAGGTAGCAGTGTCCCCACCTGCTATCTATGTCCTCTCCAAACGGTCCCCGAGATCCCTCAACCTTGCCGTAAGGCTGACCTCCCTAACCTCCCTTGCCTCCGTGTCTGTATCAGCGCTCCTAGACTCAGGAGCCACCGGGAACTTCGTGAGCCCTGAGTTCGTCCGGAGACACAAGCTCGAGACCACCCCGCTCCCCACACCCATCCCCGTCCGTAACGTCGATGGAACCCCAAACGAGAACGGGGCCATAACCGAAGAATTAGAAGCCCTCTTGACATTCGGACGCCATACAGAGCGGGCCCGCTTCGCAGTCGCGAACCTTGGGCGACAGTCCCTCATCATAGGACACTCATGGCTGCTCCACCACAACCCGGAGGTGGACTGGGTACGGCAAAAGGTCGTCATGTCCCGCTGCCCATCCTCCTGCCGGCCACCACGAGCACAAAGTGACCAAGACCCCACGCTAGAGCCTGGAGACGGGATCTATGCTGCGATCATTCCTCCAGAGTGGGGACACGAGCTAAGAGCGACTACCACACCCTCCCAGCGGATGGCCCAAGAAGCCCAAGGCCCGGAGGCAGAACCCGTATCGTTCGAGGCACTGGTGCCAGAGCAATACCAAGATTTCCGGGATGTGTTCTCGAAAGAGGCCTTCGATCAACTACCCCCCGGAAACCCTGGGACCACGCCATTGATCTAGTGCCGGACGCCAAGCTCCCCAGAGGGAAGACCTTCCCACTCTCGCGGCCAGAGCAGAAGGAGCTGGACGAGTTTCTGCGAGAGAACCTGCAGAACGGACGCATCCGACCGTCCAAGTCCCCGATGGGGGCCCCAGTCTTCTTTGTTAAGAAGAAGGATGGGTCACTACGGCTAGTTCAGGACTACCGGAAACTGAATGAGATCACGGTAAAGAACTCATACCCGCTCCCGCTCATCTCTGATGTCCTGGCCCGCCTCCGCAATGCCAAGTACTTCTCAGCGCTAGACTTGCGCTGGGGGTTCAACAACGTCCGAATCAAGGACGGTGACGAGTGGAAGGCCGCATTCGCAACCAACCGAGGGCTGTTTGAGCCCTTGGTAATGTTCTTCGGGCTATGTAACTCACCCGCGACCTTCCAAACCATGATGAATGACATCCTCCGGGATTTCATTGACCGAGAGGTCGTCATCTGTTACATGGATGACATCCTCATTTTCACCACTACCCTAGAGGAGCACCGGAGGGTCGTCCGAGAAGTCCTGGAGACGTTGCGAAAGAGGAGGCTCTTCCTGAAGCCAGAGAAGTGCAAGTTCGAGCGGACGCAGATCGAGTATCTGGGACTTATCATCTCCGAGGGAAGTGTCGCGATGGACCCTGTGAAGATTAGAGGAGTCCTTGACTGGCCCACCCCAACCAAGGTAAAGGAAGTGCAGTCCTTCCTAGGGTTTGTGAATTTCTATCGCCGGTTCATCAGAGACTTCTCTGAGAAAGCCCGCCCGCTTCATGCATTGACCCGGAAGACCAAAGTCTGGAACTGGGGCCCGGACGAGGACCACGCCTTCCACGCCCTTAAGGAGGCCGTCACCACTGCCCCCGTCCTCTCCTTCCCCACTGATTCCGGCCACTTCAGGCTCGAGTGTGACGCCTCCAACTTCGCAACCGGCGCAGTCCTCTCTCAGCTTCAGTCGGATGGGGAGTTCCACCCGGTAGCATTCATGTCCAAAAGCTTTACGGACGTGGAGCGCAACTACGAGGTATATGATAAGGAGATGCTCGCGATCGTCCGAGCCCTTGAAGAGTGGCGGCACTTCCTGGAGGGTGCCAAAGAGAGGGTTGAGGTCTACACGGATCACCGCAACCTGGGGTACTTCCGCACGGCCCAGAGGCTAAACCGACGCCAAGCATGCTGGTCCCTCTTCCTCTCCCGCTTCTACTTCACCCTCGTCCACCGCCCAGGGAAGCTCATGGGGAAGCCAGATGCACTCTCACGACGCACTGACCACCCGAAGGGGAAGGATGACAACGAGGGGCTGACACTCCTCCAACCCACCTGGTTTGAAGCCCGGGCAACAGAAGCGATCTCGGTAGAGGGAGAGGAGGCAGGGATCCTAGAGAGGATACGTGGAGCGAAGGAGCATGACGAGAGGGTGGTGAAAGCCATGCGGGAACTGGGAGAAGGGACCCTGAGGTCGGATGAATGGGAGAAGCAAGGAGAGTTAATCCTATACCGAGGAAAGGTGTACGTACCGAGAGACCAGCAACTCCGCCATGACCTGGTACAGTTGCACCACGACGCACGGGCAACGGGGCATCCGGGGCGATGGAAAACCCTAGAACTCGTTTCCCGTGACTACTGGTGGCCCCGGATGGCAGAATACGTCGGGCGGTACGTACGCGGGTGCGATACCTGCAACCGAGTCAAACCTTTCCCCTCACGAAAGGTTGGGAAGCTCACCCCAAACAAAGTCCCCACCCACCGCTGGCAGATAATCTCAGTGGATATGGTAGGAGAGCTCCCAGAGTCGAAGGGGTACAACGCCATCCTGGTCGTGGTGGACCGCTTGTCCAAACGCATCCATGCGGTCCCCACCGTAACGACGATAGACTCAGCGGGCGTAGCGCGACTCTTCCTAGAACACATCTGGAAGCATCACGGGCTCCCAGAGGAGATCCTCAGTGACAGGGGGAGTGCCTTCATCTCCCACTTCTCGAGAGAGCTCGCAGACCTCCTTGGAGTCAAACTCACCCCTTCAACACCCTACCACCCCCAGACGGACGGACAAACCGAGCGGGTCAACCAAGAAATCGAAGCCTACCTCCGAGTGTTTGTCAACCACCACCAGGACGACTGGGCAGACTGGCTCCCGCTAGCAGAGTTCGCCTACAACAATCACATCCACTCGTCCACCCACCGGACCCCCTTCGAACTCGACACCGGGCAACACCCCAGGATGGGGACAGAACCCACCCGTACATCCGAAGTAGAGGCTGCTGATGCCTTTTCATCAAGGATGATGAAAATGCAGGAGGAGGCGAAGGCGGCGTTAGAACATGCAGCAGACGAGATGGCCCGCTATTACGATCGGGGCCGTGAAGCAGCCCCCAAGTACCAAGAGGGTGACCAAGTCTGGCTCAATGCCCAGAACTACACGACCGACCGCCCCACCAAGAAACTGGACCACAAATGGCTCGGCCCCTTCAAGATAGTCAAAGTCGTCTCCCCTGCCGCTGTCAAACTCCAACTCACCGCACGACAGAAAGGGATCCACCCGGTCATATCTGTAACGAACATCAGGCCCCACCACCCGGATGAAATCGCAGAACGACCCCTCGACCCCCGCCCGGGCCCGGAACTCGTAGATGGAGAAGAGGAGTACGAAGTTGAAAAGGTATTAGACTCCAAATGGCTACGCCGGAAACTCTGGTACCTGGTAAAATTCACGGGCTGGCCAAACTCGGAGAACCAGTGGCTCCAGCGGGACCACTTAACCCACGCCCCCGACCGAATCGAGGAATTCCACAGAACGCACCCCAAGCCCCCGGGAGAGAGAGGGAGAACCACCTGGCCGCTTCGAGGCGAAGCGGCTTAAGGAGGGGGTGATGTCAGGGCACGCCCGCCTGACCCGGCCCCACCTAACCCGGTGCCCCACCATCCACTCCTCCCGACCTCCCCCCTCTTCCCCTTTTCTCCCTTCCCTTCCTTCCTCTCCTTCTTTTCTATTCTCTCTCCTCTTTATTCCTTTCTTATCACACGGACGACTTCCTTTGTATCAATGTACCATTGACCCGGCTGCAGCGTAACGTGCCCGAATCCGGACACACCGGACGACCCCCCGCACACCGGACGCTCCTAGGACCTCTTACAGAGGTACCCAGACGGGGGTGGCTGCATGCTCGGATGACGTGGCGCTTCCCACGTGGCCTTCAACCACATGTATATAAACACAGCCTAAGTGGGAACTGAGAAGCAACCTTCTTCTCACATTTCCCACTTTAGGCAAGTAGCTTACACTTCCCTTGATAATGACAATAACACATTTCCCACTTTAGTCTTAGTGGCCAGGGACCCTTGTCTGCTTCGGGCCCGCTGCTACGCACGCCCGCGTCATACCTACCGGACCCTCAGCCTCGGGCGATACACCCAGGCGCTCTCGACCCCGGGTCGGTCCCTGACACTTAGGCAACGATGGCCTATCCATCCCAAAAGAGTTTGAGTTAGTTATCGAACACAAACAAGCGTTACTTGTGCTTAGGAAGAGGATCGATGTCTACAAGATGTTAGAAATTGCAACAAATTGAGAACAAGTCAACTTTGCTCACCTTCATCCGTGAGAGCATCATCAATGTATTTGTTCTTTGAAGGGAGATGCAAGCGGATTCTTGATGGAATTTTGTGTTCTGAACAAAGGTGTTAGCATGGACATCGTGAGTGCATTGATTGATCAAGGAAATACTCTTGGCCTGATGGTTGTCTTGGTGTCATATCCATACAATCCCGACCTCCGCTCCGCGCTCCCGGAACTCCGAACTCCGACTTCCGGAGCCCTACTTCCCTTCCGTCACCTTCTCCTTGCCGACTCCCAAGAGGTTATCCCACCTCCGGCTTGGACACCACCTTCGGTCCGACTCCGGAACATTCTGGGTCCGACCCCAACCTCGACACCTTCCAGATGAGTACGCAAAACCTATGCTCCCGACTCCGGACCTCCGCTCCGGAATCCCGTTCGCGTCTCTGTCTCCGGAACCTCCGGTCTTAGCTCCGACCTTGGACTTTGACCCCACCTCCGCTTATACCCATTGTATTGGTTAGCTCATTCCATTTAATTGCCTTTGCCAATATTCCGGAGTTTAACTTCCGAGTTCGGACTTTCCGGACTTATGTCGGACCTTGCAACTATTGCATTGTCCTATTCAATTCCGCTATTCTCCCTCATTCCTATTTGGGCTGCTGCTTCCTTTCTATTCAGTCAGCTAGCCATTCCCGACTCCCATCCTCCTTCCTTCCTCCTTGGGCCTTGGCCCTTCATTCCTCCTTTGGGAAACGCCATTGAGTCAAACACTTGACCCTCGGTGTTGTTCCTCTTTCCATCTCCCTTTGTCTCCTTTCGTCTTACCCTTGTTCCTTTTGATTCCGGACCCCTCCTTATATACAATGTACCTAGTAACTTGTAACCCCAGTCCGAAATCGACATGAATTCCCCCCAAGAGACTTTCCCCCTGCTAGATCCGAAATTAGGGACCCCTAGGACAACCAGCAATGGCACAGCGCTCCGCCTGAGTTGCTGAGGCCGAGGTCCTTCCACGCTAAGTCTCCGATTCCACTCCGGAGTTGTCCGAATCCGCAAGTTCTAACACTTGGGTGCGATGTCTCATCAGACTGGTCGTGGATGACCCTATCCTCATCGTCCCTATTTGGTTTGCTGCATGAATGCCAGATAGAGAGGAAATGTTGGTGATACTCACCTTTCCCTCGCACTTTTCCAGTAATCCCTTGGTTTCCCACAGCCTTAGCATGGTAATCATCTGATTCGATTTGGTCATCGTCTGATTGAGTGTGGCTCCCATCAAATTTAGTGTGGCTGTCATCCAATTCTTCGTCTGATTTGGTGGGGTCATTTCCGCAGTTGCCCAGTTCAGTGTCACTCTCAATGGCAACATTATCTATGGCAGTATTATTCTGGGAGACACGATGAGCTATGCACTGTAGTCCTGGGATCCGTTTAACATTTTCACCTGCATGGGACAGCGGAATAGTTGTTTAGCAGTGGTCCAGCAAGCATATTGAATCACCTTTTTGTTTGCCTTTCGTCAAAGAACTGTTTTATGATTCTCTATCGCTGTCTTGATTAGCACTGGAATAGGCCAGCTTTCTTCATAATTCTGTTTGATCCAAGCATGCTCGATAAGGATCTGCATGATGCAAATAATCAGCGTGCTATAATGATGAGGAAAGTGGATTAAATAGGCTCACTTCATCTTGAATTATTTTGAGCATGTCAATGTCGATGGCATTGTATCTTATCATGCCTTTAAGGTATGGCCCCCCAATATTTGCGCGTAGGGCAGATCGAATGGATTCCTGATATTTGGTTGTCAAGCTGCAGTATCGTGTGAATTAGAAGGCCTCAGTACTCACTTGTACAGTGTTCATATCTTCTTTCGTAATGCTCATTTCCTCCATCAGACAGAAGCCACAATTGAGACAATCTGCACGACCCTGTGGCCATGGAATTTGCTCTTGGACATGGTTTTGACACACTGAGTGCAAAAAAATATATCAGAGTAGCCAACGCAGAGAGGCTACTGCACTTACATGTGTCAGCATCCTTCTGGAGGCCTGGAGGACATGATTGTAGATCGATGCGTTTGAATGTGAAAATAGAGGGAGACTTGCCTTCTAGCACCTTCTTGAGCTGTTCTTTTTCGTGTCTGAGGGAAGAAATCGTGCGTTTTTGAGTTACAGAATGCGGCATGAGAAATGGTGCGATGGTGGAGCGTAAGAGGCTGGTCACCTGGGCAGATCGTGTTTGGTCTAAGTTGAATTCATTCTCGTCTCAAACAGAACCAAATAAGCCAAAATAACACGTCTCAAGCACCTGCAGCTTCCATTGGTGTAATTTCCCCTCTCGCTCAACTGTTTAGCTCTTTGAGAGGTGGGACACATCTGGGTACTTTTATCAAACATTTTGAGACTGCCTTAAGCTATGGTTCGCAATTGCCACACAAGTGACACAACCAAAGCTTGGAAGCCAAGGTACTCAACTAGCATGGCTTGCAGACACCGTGAAGTCGAAAGGTCACATCTTTTTGGACGTCCGGCTCCCCATAGCTATTACAAAAGGTGAAAAGGAATTCTCAATCCTGCTATGGAATCAGAACTCGATACAATGGGGAATTCACCATGGGAAGATCCTTTCGAATATGAGCGCTGGGCCTCAGAAGTGGAAATGGCACACTTTGACGATGATTGCGAAATTTTGTACGCTTCCAGTCAGCTATGAATACAGTTTGGTGCTAACATCTGCTCCTAATGCCAACGGAAGCAATGATCGGAATGATGATGGATCCCAGAGTGATGATGGATCGGGGGAATTCTCAGGGCCTAACCGGGCATCTCTGGAAGAGTGGATGGAGGCTGTTGAGGAATATAAAGCAGGCGTGACCTTACGGCGCTATAACCAATTTTGTGTGTCGTAATTTCTCTCACTTTGTCATCAGCTAACCTACAAATGCAGACAACCAGCCCCTTTCCAGTGTAGACTACACAAACCTGAAGATGTTCGACATTATGATTTGCAGCAATATGTCTGGTTCAACATATAGCATTATTCAGTCGCGCTTTGAAGAACTTCAACTGAAGTCACTTCATCAACTTCACTCATACATCTCCAGGCTTTCCCATGTCATAGAGCATTCATATGACTGCTGCATTAACAGCTGCTGCTGTTTTTCTGGTGAACTTGCCGATCTCGATACTTGTCCATACTGCAAGCAATCACGCTTCAAACCAAATTGTCGTCGTCCCTTCAAGACCTTCCATTATCTCCCAATGGGACCTCACCTCAAAGCGCTCTACACAAACAAGACCTTTGCTGAACATCTAAAATACCGTGGGGCTCTTGATCTCAATACTGGGACTATTGATGATGTCTTTCATGGAATCCACTACCATCATCTACAGCAACAACAAGTTTGTCTTGATGGGCAGTGATATTGTCAGAGACCAGATCGAGACAAGGGAATGTCTCCGTGGCAGAGGGCTTCGGCCTCAGCGACTTATGCCAGGAGCGCTGTGCCAAGTTACACGTCTGTGCCCTAATTTCACTTACTGGCAATGAGAACTAAAGGGGGTCAACTCTAGTCGATTTTATTACTGAGGTGTAACCTATGTACAAGTTGAGTATATATAGTTACAACGAGGGCGGGCCTGTAAATGGCAGGGCCGAGCAGAGCTGTCATATCCATCCACAGCCATCAACTTCCACTACCTCCGCTCCTTCTTCACTAACCTCGGAGCTCCCATATTCCGCAATCACCTCCACTTCCCTTGATGGTCACCACCCCCTCTTTTCAATATATTACCTACACCTCCCTAAGTATGGAGCCCTGAAGGCTTCCGGACAGCTCTGACGTCCGCTAGCACACTCCCACCTCCGCTGGGCAATTCACTCGCTTGCCCTGCAAACCCACCTTCGGGCCTATCCCTCCTTTCCGTTTCTGGGTTATCGCCTACCATTCCGCTAACCCTGTAACCCAACTTGTCGGTAATATTCAATCAGCTAATGATTAACTCCATTAGCTCCGCCCCGCTTGGCCCTGCCATTTATGGGCCCGCCCTTGTTGTAACTATATATACTCAACTTGTACATAGGTTACACCTCAGTAATAAAATCGACTAGAGTTGACCCCCTTTAGTTCTCATTGCCAGTCAGTAAGTTAGGGCACGGACGTGTAACTTGGCACAGCACTCCTGGCATAAGTCGCTGAGGCCGAAGCCCTCCGCCATGGAGACATTCCTTCGTCTTGACCTGGTCTCTGGAGTTAAAACATTAGCCGATTGAATATTACCGACAAGTCGGGTTATGGGGTTAACGGAATGGTAGGCGATAACCCAGAAACAGAAAGGAGGGATAGGCCCGAAGGTGGGCTTGCAGGGCAAGCAAGTGAATTGCCCAGCGGAGGCGGGAGTGTGCTAGCGGACATCGGAGCTGTCCAGAAAGCTTCGGGGCTCCATACTTAGGGAGGCGTAGGTCATATATTGAAAAGAGGGGGTGGTGACCATCGAGGGAAGTGGAGGTGATTGCGGAATATGGGAGCCCCGAGGTTAGTGAAGAAGGAGCGGAGGTAAACCAGAGAGTTCGGAGGTAGTGGAAGTTGATGGCTGTGGATGGATATGACAGATATCAGCACTATTTATTTGGTGATCATTGGGACGTCACACTGGGGATCATGATAGATGGATTTCAGATCTTCAAATGCCAACGCGACGGCAGCATGACTTGCTGGCCCATTATCGCAATCAACTTCAACCTGCCACCCAAGGAACGTACTAAACTATCGAATATAATCCCACTTGCTATAATCCCGGGGCCAAAGGCACCAAAAGACTTCAATTCCTTCTTACAGCCAGTTGTTGATGACTGCAAGCAGCTGGCTCTGGGAGAATGGGCATTGGATATAACTTCAAATGAAACTTTCAAGCTTCAAGCTTATCCAATTTCTTTCCATGGCAATATGGTTGCTGTGACGCATGTAATGAATTTTAAGGGTCCTAATGGGATTTCCCCATGCTCAGTCTGCCACATTAAGGGAATTAGGAATCTTGATGGCGTGACAACATACTATGTCCCTCACACACCTCCTCTCGACCAGCCCAAAACATGTGATACATACTGGGATATTCGGGACAACTTGCTCTGTTCCAAATCTGATTATCAACACACTCTCAGAGGTCACTTCCCTCCTAGGCAGTTCCAGAGGCTCAAAATCGAAGCTTTCCAAAATCCAACAACAGTCTGGGATCAATGGAAACTGAACTTCCATCCATTTCAATTACTAGGTCTTTCCCCCGTGATTGGATGCATCTTTGCCTAGAAAATCACTCAAAAAATCTGGTTGCGCTATGGCAAGGTAAATATAAAGTGAGGGGAAGGAAAGCTATCAGCTTTCCGAAGCTCTCTGGGAAAGAATCGGACAAGAAACTGCTCAAGCTGGGGACACGGTACCCTCATCCTTCGGACATCGTACCTCAAACATTTGGATGGAAAAGCACATCTTCACAGCTGAAGATTGGGCTTTCTGTGTCAGAGACCGGGTCGAGACGAAAGAGTGTCTCCGTGACGGAGGGCTTCGGCCTCAGCGACTTATGCCAGGAGCGCTGTGCCTAGTAAACACGTCCATGCCCTAACTTACTAACTGGCCACCAGAACTGAAGAGGGTAAACTCTAGTCGATTTTATTACTGGAGTGTAACCTATGTACAAGTGTAGTATATATAGTTACAACGAGGGCAGGTCCGCAAATGGCGGAGCCAAGCGGAGCGGAGCTAACGGGGTTAGACATTAGCCGATTGAATATTACCGACAAGTCGGGTTACGGGGTTAGCGGAAAGGCAGGCGATAACCCAGAAATGGAAAGGAGGGATAGGCCCGAAGGTGGGCTTTGCAGGGCAAGCGAGTGTATTGCCCAGTGGAGGCGGGAGTGTGCTAGCAGACGTCGGAGCTGTCCGGAAGCCTTCGGGGCTCTGTACTTAGGGAGGCGTAGGTAATAAATTGAAAGGAGGGGGTGGTGACCATTGAGGGGTACCGAGGGGATTGCGGAATACGGGAACTCCGAGGTTAGTGGAGAAGGAGCGGGAGTGATCGGAGGGATCGGAGGGATTGGAAGTCGATGGCCAGGGATGGATATGACATTCTGGATGATTCACATAGCGCCGTATGTTCTCAGGAACAGGTTCAACTGCCCCAAATATTACAAACATTTCATGAAATTCAATTCAATCCTCAAACGCACCATTCAATATTCTTTCACAGAGAAAGACCTGGATGAGTTAGAGCAAGATATCGTTGATTATGTGAAAGAATATGAGATGTGAGTTCATTTTATCACTTGAGTTTTGTGTGCAAAACAATATACATATTGCATCGCTTTTCTAGTATTTACTACCAGTTTTCGGCTCAGCGTTTATCTGCATGCCCCCATACGACATTCGAAACAATGGGCCACCATGTAACAATTGGACCTTCATCATGGAGCATTGGTGTGGTTCGCTTTTACCTGCCATCAAATCTCGGAAACAACCATTCACATGCCTCATGCTAAGGCAGTATCAGGCAGCACAATTATTTGAGGTTGTAAACCGCTACAACGTAACTCAGCTGATGCCACTGAGACGTGATATGAATGTCCCTTCACGGCATGAGAAACGGTTTTCGAAGTCGGCCTGTGCGCTATCCTTCAGTTATTTAGCCACCATAGCTGACACATTGCCAGATCTTATCTCTTTTTTATGCAACCCTGTCAAACACAACCATACTCCTGACATGACAATTCAAAAGAAGATTGCAAAACATTTGACGACATCTTTTGGTGGCTTGATCAGAGCCTGGTTGGACATCCTTCCACAAATAATGGAGCACTGGGTGAAAGTTTGCATTGGTAATGGGGGCCATCTTATTCGAGGGGCCATTGCACAGATGAGCAGTTGGCAGAGTTTCCGCGATGCCTCTTTTGTCCGTGTGAGTGATCGCAATTCTGGTTTACATAACCAAATATGTTATTTGATAGTATGAGTTGATTGCTGATGCGAATGCACACTGCCCACAAGCCAAAGAAGATTTTGTTCGTACTGTCTACTATGGGCGGCTTGAGTATATCCTTCACTGCACCATCCCATCAAACGTCATATCCAAAAATACTGAGCCCAAAACCATTCTTTTTGGCATCATTACCACTTGTACCCAGGGACACGATGCTACACTAGAGCTGACCTATTTTAGAAGTTTGATGTTGTACATTGAAATCGTGGACTTGGCTGCAATCTGCGCAGTGGTGGGTCGCATCCAAATTGGCACCACGAATCCTCAATGGGTGATTGTTGACCGGAGCGGTTCCTGGGTCCGCACCGCCTTCACGGATGACTCACTGACTGTAGACACTCCCCAACAAGACAAACTCTGACAAAAATCCATTGTGTATGCTTAGGATACCTAGCTACAAATCAAATTTACATCTAGCTTCCGAATTGCGACTTTGTCTGGTCTACCATGAGATAAAAATCCGGCTCTGTTCTGCCTCCAGCAAACAGTGGAACCGGTCTGTAAAAGATCAGGATAAAAATCCTATTCCACTGAGCCTGAAGGTAGCAGTCCGCAAAGTTACATGATAACGGACAATGCCTTGTTTCCAATAATCACACAATGGTCAGGACTTTTTGCAAAATCTTGACCTATCACGTTACAATATCATGGAATCGCTTCTCTCAGTGAAACATGTGCAAGCGTCCAAATAACTCTGTGAGTCATGTCCCATATGAATGGGTTGAGGTGCCCCCATGTTATAAAAATGGGCCCATTTCTATAGCATTCAGGTGCAGGAGGGAGCCTGTCAGGGCACACACCCTGACTAGCCCGGACCCGGACCCGCATCCGGACCCGCTCCCGGACCCGCATGCGTGCTCTGCCCCGCATGCTCCACGCACCGCATGCCCCGGGCCCGGTTCCCACTTCTCATGTGACTTCCGGGTATCCCCGGAAGTTTTCGCCATATTGGGCCACTGTGGGAAAGTGAGAAGTTAACCTTCTGTCAGGGACGCATCCGGGGTAGAGGAGGCCTGGGTGAGACGCCTGACACTAGAAGTCTCGTGGGGTGTGGAGCAGGCGTGCGTACTGGCGGGCCCGGCTCAGGAGACAGTCCCTGGCCACTCAGACTGAAGTGGAAAAGGATGAGAAGAAGGCTACTTCTTCGGTTCCCACTTCAGGTATGTTTATATACATGCGGCTTGGGTCACATGATGGGTGCCACCTCATCCTCGCATACAGCCGTAGTCACCCGGGTGTCCCCATGGGGGATCCCAAGGGCATTGTAGCGGGTCTATCAATCTAGACTCGTGGCTCAGGTCTGGGGGGGGGGTAGGTCTCTCTCTAGTGTCAGACAGATGTAGTGGGGTCCTTGGGTACGGTGCTGATAACCCTCTTTAACTACTGTACAGTGTGTCACGGAAGAGTCCGATACAAATAGAAAAGGAAAGTCACATGCGTGAATGAATGAAAATAGTAAAGATAATAAAGAAAATGTCATATCTCCTCAACAACCCAACCAAATCCAACGATCTTAAACTCGTCAGAACCACCTCTACAACCTCTACAACTCCTACTATTACCCCGAGTCACCAATCCTAATCCCTGATGCAGTAAAGGGTGAAGTGTGCGATGAGGCTCGTTTTAACCCGCACAGACTTGTCCCCACAACAGCGTCCGCTGTGAATGCACGAGCTGGACGTAGCAGGGGTCGCCTGGGGCGCCCGGGCTGGGTGTGTCGTGAGCGCGCTGCAGGTGGGTCAATGGTACATTGATACAAGGAAAGGTTGTCCGTGTAGAATAAAGAGAAAATAAAGAGAAAGTGAAATAAATGAAGAGGAAGTGAAATGGAGAAAGAAAGAAAGAGGAAGGAGGGAGGAGGGAGGAGAAGGCTGGGTGGTGGGGTACCAGGTGAAGTGGGGCCGGGTGGGGCCGGGTCAGGGGGGTGTGCCCTGACAGTGAGAGGCCGCCTGGCAGGTCCGGGCATGTCGTACTGCAGCTGGGCCAATGGTACACTGATAGGAGGGAAGTTGTCCATGTAATAAGTAAGGAAAGAAAGAAAAGAGAAAGGAGGGAGAAAGAGAGGAAGAGAAAAGGGGAGAGGAAGTAGGGAAGGAGTGGGTAGCAGGGAACTGGGTCAGGTGGGTGATGGGGGACCGGGTCAGCTGGGGCCGGGTCAGGCAGGTGTGCCCTGACATGGATTCAAGTTGTGAGTGTACTATAAACTTCACCCAAATTATAGCAAATTTAATTCTTTGGCTTACCAGGGAAGTGTGTGGGTGGTGATTGGGAGCTTGTCAGGGCACACACCCTGACTAGCCCAGACCTGGACCAATATGTGCACTCCGCCCCACATGCTCCATGCACTGCATGCTCCAGGCCTGGTTCCCATTCCTCATGTGACTTCCGGGTATCCCCGGAAGTTTTTGCCATATTGGGCCACTGTGGGAAAGTGAGAAGTTAACCTTCTTCTCACTTTCTTACCCACAGTAGTCATGCCCTGGGATGGGCTGTGTTTACAGGTTGGACTGTGGGCCATAGAGAGGGGTCATGGGGACCCTGTCAGGGACCGACCCGGGGTCGAGAGCGTTGTTGTGGGGACAACTCCGTGTACCGCAAAAAGTCGGATTCTGTGGAATTTGGCCACCAACATATACCACATACCCTCTGACGCTCCCGATGTTCATTATAACACTATCCAACACTCCACAAACTCATTCCTTATTTTTCCCTATTTTCCCCATCATTCCCGACAACCCCAAGCAAAATTCCCACGCCAAACCACGCCGCCAATTTCACCCCCTCTCCAGATCTCCATACCTACACATACAACCCAGTCGTTTTTCCACCCGATAGTGATGCTCTGCCTTCCTTCTTCACCCCCGGAGCATTTCCCAGAATGGCAATCCCATGCCCGGATGGTTCAGCACGGAGTAGAGTCTCACGTGGTCTTGACAGTACCTGTCAATGGCCACATCTCAACAACTACTGCACCAAATGGGACGAATAGGGGCTCGTTGGAAAGCTGGAGACGAGGAGGTTGCTGACGGGAGGATAGGCGGGCGCTGTGGCGAAGCGTTGCGGAGTTAACTTTTACATTTCCCATTTCGGACCCGTTATGATATATCCCCCATTCATTCATATTTCTTTTATTGTTTCTTTGTTCCCAATTGGATATTCGTCATTTACGGTTGTCTAACGGCCCGTTTACATTCCCCCAGTCCATTCATTTCATTTCAAACATATAAAAACTAGATAACAGCTTGTACATAACAAGTTAGTATTGAATAGACCCGTGAAGGGACAAGCAGAAGTTGCATCCAAGTGGCAAAGATGCCATCCACGACTCTAACGCCTCCCCTGAGTTACTTGCTTACATCTGAGACCCCTTTTCTCATAACCCTCGGCCTTGACGTCCAAGAGAGACGTAGGTGAGTGTTGAGTTGAGGCTCCAACAGACCCGCTAGCACCCCAGGACCCAAAGAACCGAACCTCCACCACACACTCATTCACTACCACCCTCCCCCCTTTCTCTGTCTCGAGTCTAGGCGATAGACCCGTTACAGCGTCCGGGTATATTGCCCGGGGCTGAGGGCCTGGTAGGGTGCGGCATGGGTGTGCGTAACAACGGGCCCGGAGCAGGCAAGGGTCCCTGGCCACTTAGACTAAAGTGGGAAGTGTGTTATTATTATTAGCAGGGGAATGTAAGCTACTTGCCTAAAGTGGGAAGTGTGAGAAGAAGGTTACTTCTCAGTTCCCACTTAGGCTGTGTTTATGTACATGCGGTTGGAGGTCATGTGGGGAGCACCACGTCATCTATGCACACAGCCGTGTCCGCCCGGGTATCTCCATAAGAGGTCTCAGGAGCGTCTGGTGTGTAGGGCGTCACCCAGTGTGTCCAGGTCCAGGCATGTTGCGCAGCCTGGTTAATGGTACATCGAGCAAGGAAGTTGTCCGTGTAGTAGAAAAGGAAAGAAGGAGAAAGAAAGGAAAGAAGAAAGAGGAGGAAAAGGGAAAGGAAGAAGGAGAGAAAGGAGGAGGGAGGATGGGGGCATCAGGTGAGGGTAGTGGGATCGGGTGGGGTCGGACCGGGTGGAGTGGGGTCAGGCGGGTGTGCCCTGACAGACCCAGGGTCTGTCCCCTGACACCCCCCTTGTCACTGAAAACCACTGGAAGCATCTAAAACATGGCTATCTTTGATTAAAAACACACTCACTGCTCAATCAGACTGTTTACATCATTGCCTATTCCACCATTAACTCCTATATTCATACATCCCACTTTCTTGAGCCTGACTGGTGTTGGAGGAACCATGTGCTATGGGAGGCCAGACAAGCTTTCATACAGCCACATTCCCACAGTAGCGTGACTACTTGGTCACAACACCTTTTTCTTCTTACTTATTTTGGTCACTTCGGACTTATCTGTGAAGGCCACAAACTATATTCAATCTTTTGAATTAGTTTCCTTTTTCCTCAGTTCTTTTAAATTTAATGGAGGCACGAGATTAAATATGACTTGTGTGCGCCAGCCTCAGCGCCTCAGTTTTCTTCTGGGTATCTGCCATGCCCTTTGCTAGGTCAAGTCCTCGTCTGTACACAATATTCATTGCTTTATGCCTTTAGACTGTTCACCTGCGATGTTCAGTTTTTCTTAGTTGTCTGGTATGCAATTGTGTCCATGTTTCTGATTTCTGCTGCTTGATTGGTACATCAGTTTATTTTTTTCTCTTTACACATGTTTGCTGTACGGTTCGGCCTCCATGCCTTCTTTCTTTTATGCGCACCCGCTGAGCGCTTTGGCCTCCATGCCTTCTCTTCTGCGTCTGTGTCTGTGGTACGCTTTGGCTTCTCAGCCACCACCTCTTGCATCCGCTGCATGCTGTTGCTCTACAGTCTTTTATCTCTCTTGCGTCCATGCATGCTGGAGTTTATTTCTTTTTCTATGACTCTGACGTATATTTCTAACTAATTCTCTTATTAGTTTTGGTTAGGGTGTTTGGTTGGCGTTGAATATTCAGTCTTGCATTGGATAAGGCAGTTAGCCTTGGTTACCCTTTGCAAGTTGGATCCCGGATGTTTACGGTGTCTTTCACTTTTCGGCTCATGCCTTGTCTTTGTAACTTCACTTCTTCTCTTTTGTTGGCACTTCTCTGCTGCTACTCTCAGTTGTCTTCATCGTTACCCTCCACCTGCCCCATCACCTCCTTTTTTTTGGATTTTTGTATTTACCGGCTCGCTTCAAATCAAGAGGCTTCAACATCCTGTCGGGGCCGTCACCATGCTATCCGTTACACCTTCGCCCATGCACAAGCGTGCATATAGTGAGACTGAGGTTAGTTATCTTTCATTCATTCTTATATCTTATAACTCATTGTATATTACCTTATAGCTTTAGCATTAGGTAATATTAATAGTTCTCGTGCATATAGTGAGACTGAGCATTAGCATTAGAGCAAGCGGTTATTCCGTTAACTGGCACCTTGGCAGGAGCCGCCCCTTCACAACTTGGCAGCAAGCTTTCAAGTCTGCTTGGAATGAACTTGAAAAGAGGCCCATCAGCAGCCGCAACTATAATACTAACATCAAAGACTGGACCTGCCACTGTGGTGCACAAGCCACCAACACATTTCACCTTTGCAAACACCTCATACAGTCTGCTGGGAAACCTCCTATGGAATTTTGGGAGGATATCCACCGGCGTCATTTTATGCCCCTCAGCCTCCCTGTATCGGCATACTCACCTCTGGAACCGTGACCAAGCTGCCAAACAAGGCAGCATATCTGACGGTGATGACCAGGACCGAGAAGGGGTCCGACTTAGTCTAGCTAGCCTCAAACCTCATGAAATCAAGCGCACTCACTCATCCTTAGCAGATCCGACTCAAGATTTGGATCACTCAGCTAAAAAGCTAAAATATGACACTTCAATCGCTCATGCTGACATCTTGATTCAGGCACACATGGATGTCAACACCAATCTCACCCCTGCTGGCAATGACGAGGTTGTGAATCTCCATGGCAGCGATTTATCGGATGAGGATGAGGTGAAGTGGCATTATTTCTTGCATGGTTCTCACACTTACGAGTTCAAAGATTGCCGAGCTGCGAGCTCGTTTCAATGAATTGGGGGACTATCTCATTGAGGCTGGAGAAACTGTCCTCCAACAAGTTGAGAAGGATGAGGGCGTTTGGATGCGGGGTATGGCAGGTCATGATCTGACTCGAAAAGCAGGGCCGATTGTCGAGGAATTTGTCAGAGTGATGCGCAGAGCGGAGTGGAATGGTTCATACCTGGCTCCGGGGCAAGAGTCGCCATGGCCGACAAGCCAACCTTGCAACATTAGGATCCCATACCTCTAGTGACTGGGATTCAAATCCGGCTGCCTCTTGCTTCGAAGGTGACGACGATGCCGCTGATCAATCTGTACCTATTTTGCAAAGGCATTTTCATTGTTCACTTTCATCCACCTTCGGCCGCTAATAGCATGTCATTTTGCTTCTCGTTATGATGTGAGCTCCTCTTAGCTATCCTTGCCCACTTCATTGTGCTAACTCTGGACTTGTTGCAGCCCCGTTGACTAGTATTTCATTTTCCCACTATTTCGCCACAATACTATGTATTTCTTCTCATCAAATCCCCAACTCCACAATCAAATCAGTCACTCCTTGAGTCCGATTCACACCTTGCGACATATGCTTTCTCTGACAAAGGAGTCAAGCAGGTTCTTAGAAAGAACAAATTAAGGTAACCTTGAGTGCAAGAGATAGGACGAACTGAGGTTGCTTCTCTGCAGGATCCTCTGCTGGGTCCGTGGAGAAAGCTTAAATGGGTGCAGAGAGATGCGAAGGGTCCTGATCCTCATCAACAGTGAATGACGTTGTTGAATATCACTAGTCGGGTATGCAGTGCGCGCATGCACAACATCCCACGACTACTCCGACACCACCTCCCATCTCGTCCGTGCGCCGTCCCAGTTGTAGCATAGTCCCATTGTACTATAAAACCTCGTAGTCAGAACCTAAGGATAATATCTTTCAATACTTACTTGAGCTTGAGTCCCTCGTTAGTGTCTGAGTGTTGCCGTTGAGCGCCTAAAGTCTACTCATAACAACAGACTGGGGTAACAAGTCATTTCACTAGACTTATCGCATGCACAGCATCCCACGACTACTCTGACACCTCCTCCTGCCTCGTCCGTGTGCCGTTCCACATGTAGCCATACTATAAAACATTGTATACGTAGTTACACCTAATAATAATACATCTTTTTATCAGTCCCCGTATCCTTGAACAAGACAAAGCTAATGAAACGCACCTCTTCACAAAATGGTACACTGCCCTAAACTCGTTGCCCTTCAGGCATCCCGATGTGATCTGTACCGGCATATCCTTCAGGCCCATCGCACACCATTCTCTGGCCATACACCTCCAAGCACCGCGCTCGTCTTCGTCACCCCATTTGGTGGCAGCGCGGAAACCCATGGAGGGAATCGGTGAGTCGTCGATTTTTGGGACTCTGGCGAGATTATTCACACCCAAATCACGTTGATAATTTTATTTCCTGGGTCCTCTAGATTTTGGCATTAGTTTCTAGTGTCGTAGTCCGACGTGCACCGATCACATAATAGCCGTCTCCGGATCCCTCGCAGTACGAACATGTAAAGAAGGGTACAGTGACTCCGGCTATGGCCTAAGAGAGGCCGATCAGGTGGGGTCGTACGTCCTCGTCATCGCTGGCTCATCCAACACCAGCGAAGTTCTCACTGGAATGTCCCCATTTCCGGCGCACGAGTGCTCTGAAAGGCGATCTCTGAATTATAAAGTTTGATGAAATGGCGATCATCATTCCGAGCGTATCTTACGACAGTACTATTTTCTGAACATCAACAGGTCTTGCGACGAGGCAGCTAGCGTCTAGATGCCGATGATTTGCGCATTGGTCGCTGTGCTTCGCCAGATCCTGCTGGCTGGCACATGGGCAACGGGCAGTAGCCCCGGTCCTCGAAGTGGCAACTGCCCTGTGGATCCCCTTCATTATAGCACTCCGACGACTGAACACCGCCGGAAAGTGGTACACACTCTCCACTTCTTCCATCCTCGTCCAGGAAGAAATCGCTCTTAGGGGGTCATTCAACAATATGGTAACGTTTTTACCGCAAAGCGACGCGGTGATTGCGATGTCGCGACCGTAGATGTTGCATCTCAGGCCTTCCAATTCGTGAGAGAAGATTATCTCTGCAGCGGCGCAAGTGTCTTTTGGGCAAATATTGGTTAAGCAGGAGCACAATCCATTTGACTTCGGCTCACCATTGCCTGCGGGGACGATCCCCCAAGATCCTGACATCCAGTTGTGGCCTCTGTCGTGGCAAGTGAATTCGCCATAGTGGATATCAGCTGCGACAACAAGAACTAGAGTGATTGGGACAAAAACGTTCCAGAATCGCATTGTGACTTTTGGAGAAATGCTGCTATTATACTGGCAGGTAATGTGCGTGGCGTCAGTAGGTACGTAACATGAATCAAGGAGTACTTACCACAACTTTCAGTGTATGCGCTTAGAGGGCTGGGAGCGCACCCCTCAGAGATTATATAGGATACTCCAGTGTCTAAGAAGAACTATAAAAGAGGGGGAACGGCCGGAACCCGGGCGGTCCCGGCCCGTGGATTGGCGCCTCGTTCCCCGATAATGTATGAAATCCATGAGTGAGGAGATGAAAGCAGAGACGCAAATGAATATATACTTACTACAAGTATGCGCATCTGATGCGATTGAACCCATTGAGTGCTAAATTCCATCCGTGACTGTCCAGCTGGGACTCGGACGGTCACGGGCCACGGGCACACATCAGCAAAGTCGGACCAGAGGTTTTGATGGGTTGCTATGGTTGCTAGCAGTCACTACTGTGCCGACCATTTTCTCAGCCTAGTCAGCCATGTAATGACAGCCTATGGAGGGGTGTTGAAGTCACGAGTCACCGGAACCTTCCGGGGCATTCTGGATTATTGTGGGAAATCGCTAGAATATTCCCGCTTAGTCTGTGCTTGCGTACGCGCGCTTGCGCAGTTACTTATTTTACGTATAATATCATTGTAATACATTTCGTGTATGTATAAATACGCACAGACATGCGTTGAGCAAAATCATCAGAAAGTTTTCTAGCTTACCTCTGGTCTCGCGAGTATAACTGCTGAAGTAAGCGGATTGCCTTATCAGGAATCCCTACATTACAACAAGGGGGGGCCATTTGGCCTTTGAATGGGGCCTGAAAGGGGGTATTTACTAGTGGATGTCCTGGACATCCTGGTGAGGAAAGAAAATGCCTGATCCATTCACCAGGATGTCCCCAGGACATCCTGGAACGTCCTGGGATGATTCTATAATTCAATCAAATTTGTATTATTCAGGGTAGACATTCAAAACATAATGCCGCAATTGAATCTGATTTCCCATGACAATTCCCAGGCTGCTCAACTGTCTGTATATATTCTGAGACTGAATTGACTAATAAATCATTGAGAAAAATGCAAAATACCTTCTTGGACACGAGTCTTTGGGTTAGTGTGTGTTAGAACTGGGCGAGGGCAGATGATTCCGAAGGGGAACCGGAGACTTAGCAAGGAGGGTGTCAGGGCACACCCACCCGACCCAGCTCCACCTGCCTTCACCCAGTACCCTGCGCACCTCCACCCCTCACCCTTCACCATTGTTTCTCACTTCTTGTTCTTCCTTTGTCCTTCTGTTCTTTTGCTCTCTTGCCCTTTCTTCTATCTTTATCTACATGGACGACATTTCCCCTTATCTATGTATTATTGACCCGCCCGCGATGCATGCACGACGCACCCAGCCCCGGATGACCCGGATGGCCTCATGGTGCAACCCAGCATGCGCACATTGTAGGAGAAATAACGGACACACTATGGAAACCCATTATGGAAATATGCCAGATAAATCACAAAACCCCATATGACAAGTAGACATGAGAAAATAGAAGGACCTGAACTTTAATGAATTTTAACAAATTTCTTACGAATTATTATGATTATACGTGATAAATTGAAAGAAAGAAAATTAGCAAAAGTACTTCAAGCTTAGCATCAACAAGACGGAATTCTCGGGGGAATTTATAGCAAATATTAAACAAAGAATTAGGACAATCGACCAAGATTTGACTATAAAAACAATCAGAGAACCTCCACGGAAACTACTTTCCCATGTCTGCACATGTAGCCAAGGATGGAAGTACCACGGAACAAGGATTCCTCAGGAACTAATGCAAAATTCAAAGTCGTGTTTATAATAGGAAATGTAGATGTCCCCCAAACGGACCCAATGAAAGTAATTACAGGGAAAACTACCCATAAACGATGGAGATATGACTAAAACTCCCGCAAAACGAGGACAACGCTTAAAAAGCAAGCGCAAAGAATAACCAGTAACGACCGAGACGAGCTTGACAGCCCATTAGAAAGGAAGAGATCTAATCTTAATCCACCCAAATTTTCATAATAAAAGGATCACGCATTAATGAGATATCCAATAATGGGAATAGCGACATCAAAAGTCCGAGCTCAGGGAAAAGACAATGTTTACGTAGGATCCAAAATTAAAACATACAACGAAATTTACACGGAAATTATGAAAAATAGGAAACTATAGTTATGCAAATTTCAGCCCAAACGGTCCAGCCATTGTAAAGTTATACCAATGGTGGGGGTATAGAAATCCGCATCATGTTTAATGACATGTGAGGGTGGCAATGCAAAGGGAACCAGCTGTTGGAACTGAGATCCACACTTCGGCAGATCACAAAGACCAATTTCCATCCAAATAAGGAAGAGCCCGGTCAAAACAAAGCACGGAAAGTGCAAAACAACCTTAGATCATGAGGGAAAAATCTGAAATAAATCACAGAAGCCCGTATGAAGGATATAAACACCTGCGCATACCATAAATCCCGAACAAACTGCGCCCGCATACGAACGACTATGGGAACGATGCATGTGATTACTGAATGTGCACGCAAACTTTTGCTAACTCGACAAATACCAGGAAATAGAACATAACTTTAGTACCATTGGAGAGGTGGGAATAAATGAAAATTTATGATACCAAGAACGTGAGAAACCATCCAGAAATGAATGAGATACAAGGACATGAAGTTAGAAACCTGATAACGCGCGGGAAGACAGCTTCAAGAGGTCCAGAGCCCTAAATAAAATACATAAAAATATGATATCTTCGAGGACGACCTACTATAACAACGAAAAATACATATGGAGGATTAGGATGTGATAATACAAAGGGGAAATCAGGGAAGATGAACGAAATCCACGAAAACCACTAAACTACGACGGACCATGGCAGGAATTTTAGGGAACAATATTCTAATGAAGTGGAGAGCCCTAATACATTCGTTTGAGTAATTCTTGACTACTAGCAACTTTTTCTTTCGGTTTTAAACCTGAATAATTCACTCATTTACCATTTCAAGTCTCATTTTAACTAAATGTCGCTGAATAAAAATGGAATAAATCAGCTGAAGGTCTCAGCACAGCCGTACGCATAGTAATGCGAAGTTTGAATTCAGAATCACCAAGTCATAGCAAATTTAATGGTAAATATGAGGAATTTGAAATAGGAAACTGCGACAAATGCAGCGCAGTCAAGGTCTAATTAACCATTAAAATAGCTTAGGTGAGGAAGGACAATAAGGATTCTAGGCGCAGTCTGACCACAGTAGAGCCGCAGTGCAGCACAGCAAAGCGCAGTAGAACTATAGCATGAAAATTTCATTCTTTATTCAGTTTGAGAAAAATACACTGTAAATAAATCCTGTAAATACAAGGTAGAGCATGAAAAAGGAAGGCAACCCAAGGAGTATAAAAGGGTGACCCTTTCTGCGACTTTTTGCCCCCCTCAGAGAAGTAAGAGAATAGAGTATTATTTTTCTCAAGCATTTCTGGTTGTCACTCCAGTGCGAAAAAGTGATATACAGTTAAGATTGCCACTGTAGTAAAAGGCAGCAATTAAGGAGAGAAATATTAAGTAGATATTTCAACAGGAGAGCTGGTTAACACTCCAGAGTTCAAAGTGTAAACACAAAACAGTTATTTTGCTACTGTTAAAACAAGCAATAAAATAAGACAAAAATAAAACAAACTCAAGGGACACTCCAGACACAATCCAAATCCATTAACTGAGTAGAATCTTTGAAACTTCACCAAGTAGAAGATTTAATTCAAGTTAAATTCCAAATTAAACAACGCTACACAGAATTACACCTAGACAAATTAAGAAATTTCAATAAAGGAACAGCTCTGCAGGGCTCAGTTTATCTGTAAGTCAATTCCCAGAAACTTTAGACTAACCCATAAAAATAGAATTAGCCAAAACACTCGGATTGGTACTATATTTACAACTAATAATACTAGTACACTTCCCCATCCTAACTAAAGAACCAGGGAACAGCTTGGTGGTGGTCTCGTTTGAACCTCCCAACTGACCTTCCTTCATTCTCTCCTTCAGCGTGCAGCACACACCCTTGGGATCCCCCACGGGGACACCCAGATGACTGCGGCTGTATGTGGGGTGACATGGCAAACCTCATGTGACCCAAGCTGCATGTACATAAAAGTACCTGGGGTGGGAACCAAAGAAGTAACCTTCTTCTCATGATTCCCACTTCAGGTAAGTAGCATAGCTTCCTTTTTAATAACAACTCATGATTCCCACTTCAGTCTGAGTGGCCAGGGACCGTCGTCCCAGATTGGGCCCATCACTATGCATGCCCACTCTACACCTCGCGACAGCCTCAGTGCCGGGTGTTACACCCGGGCCCCCTTGACCCTGGATGCATCCCTGACAGCAGAAGAAGGTTTTAACCTTATCTCCCCCGCCTCCCCTATCTCCCCAGCCATGGTGTCAGAAGAGCAGTACGATGACCTGCTGGCCCGCTTCCAGGAGCTCCAAGCTATTGTGGAGAGCCAAGCCTGCAACCACCCCCCACCTGCACCTGCACCAGCACCCGCACCTGCGCCCATCCCTATACCCCCACTCACGCCTAGGCCCAAACCACCAAAGGTTGCTCCCCCCACTCCCTTCTCGGGAGCCAGCGAGGACCTCGACCGTTTTAAGGCCGAGTGTGGGATCTACTTCCATGTCCACGCTGCTGAGTTCCCCACCAAGCTATCCCAGATCCTCTTCGTCCTCTCCTACATGAAGGGGGGACCCACAGGGGTGTGGGTGACACAATGGATGATCACCCTGTTAACAGCCAACTCCCCCACCATTACCATGGACGAGTTCAACATGGAACTCGATGCCATGTTCCAGGACCCAAACCGGGAGGCCACAGCCCGGCAGAAGTTGGCAGTCATCCACCAAGGGACTGACTCTGTGGATAAGGTTATCCAGGAGTTTGAGATACTGGGACCCACCTCGAGGCTAGGGGATGTCGGGCTGGTCGACCGATTCAAGCAGGCAATTAACTCCCAGCTCAGGGAGAGCATATACCACCTCCACCCCATGCCCACCACCTGGGCTGAGTGGAAACACGAAGCCACACTTCTGGACAACCAGTGGCAATGTTTCCAAGCCACCCAACCATGCGCACCCCTGCCCAGACCCCCGCTTCTGCCAGCTCAACCTCCACTAAC